CCCCCCCCCCGCCGCAGCCAGGCAAAGCAGCCTCGGAAACTCACGGCTCGCCGGAGGAAGCCGAACCTCCCCCGAGTTGAGAAATTCAAAATCCAGAGAGTGAGGAAGGGGCGGAGCTTCGAGGCGAGGGCTTGGGAGGGCGGGGCCCCCGACGCTCCTCACGCTCTCTTGCTCGCTCTCTCTGTCTCTCTCGCCATGCTGACACAGAGGCGCAGGCGGCGGACCCAGACGCCGGGGCCGCTCTAGGAAGCCGGCGCGCGGCTCGTTTTAACCCTTTGGCGGAGCGACGTTTAAGCCTTTGGCCGGCGGGGGGGGGGAGGAAAGTGCCAGGTCGTCCTCGACTTACGACCACGCGAAACCAACGGAGCCCCAAATTTATGTGGCTAAGCGAGACGTTTCAAGTGAACTTCGCTCCTTTTGGGGCCACGGTTGTTAAGTGAATCGCTGCGGCTGTTAACTTCGTAACGTGGTTGTCAAGCGAGTCTGGCTTCCCCATTGACTTTGCTTGTTCAAAATCAAGGAGAGAAGCAACCTAGAACTAAGGAGAAACTTCCTGACAGTGAGAACAATTAACCAGTGGAACAACCTGCCTCCAGAAGCGGTGAATGCTCCAACACTGGAAGATTTTAAGAAGAGACTGGACAGCCATTTGTCTGAAATGGTATAGGGTTTCCTGCCTGAGGAGGGGGTTGGACTAGATGACCTCCAAGGTCTCTTCCAACTTTACTACTATTATTATTATTAAAAGGCCACAAAAGGTGATCCCATGACACTGAGACACGGCCACCGTCATGAATATAGTATGTAGTATGTTTTAAATGTGTGCTGTGTCTGTGTACACTCTGAGAGGAAGCAACTAAATTTCATTTTTAATGTGTGCCGTTGTGCCCACAGGGAAAAAATGACAATAAAGGGCATCCAGCCCTCTCAATTTCTGTCAAATAGATGGGGAAGAAATGGAGGTAGGACAGATTTTATTTTCCTGGGCTCCAAGATCATCACAGATGGGGACTGCAGCCAAGGAATTAAAAGACGCTTGCTCCTGGGGAGGAAAGCTATGGCAAATCTAGACAGCATACTAAAAAGCAGAGACATCACCCTGCCAACAAAAGTGCATATGGTCAAGGCTATGGTTTTCCCAGTTGCAATGTGTGGCTGTGAAAGTTGGACCATAAGAAAGGCGGAGCGCCAAAGAATTGAGGCCTTTGAACTATGGTGCTGGAGAAGACTCCTGTGAGCCCCCTGGACTGCAAGGCGATCAAACTGGTCAGTCCTAGAGGAGATCAATCCTGACTGCTCTTTAGAAGGCCAGATCCTGAAGTTGAAACTCAAGTACTTTGGCCACCTAATGAGAAGGAAGGACTCACTGGAGAAGAGCCTAATGCTGGGAAAGATGGAGGGCAATAGA